GATGAGAAAATATTCATGGTCCAGCAGTTTGTAAACAAACAAAAGGATCGTGTTTACTTACCAAAAGGTCAGCTGAAAATGTGCACTTTCGGTTAGCCACCAGAACTCAAGCGCCGGCCATGGTGATGATATGGGCCGCCATAACAGCCGATGGTCGCTATCCGCTCGTATTAATTGACCGTGCCATCAGAATAAATGCATTGGGCACGCAAACTTTTTGGCCGCAGACCTTGGACATTCCAACAGGACTCACCGCCATCGCACTCAGCACGCGCCGCCCAAGAATGGTTACAAAATGAGGTTCCACGCTTCATTTCCAGCGCACGATGGTCATCAAAATCTCCGGATACCAATCCCTTGTACTATTGTGTCTGGAGTATTTTGGAAAGCAAGGTTGGCACTAAAAAATACCTAAGTGTCGATCACCTCAAGCAAGCACTTCGCCGGGAATGGGCCACAATACCGCAGAGCAACATTCCGGCAACGTGTTGGCCGTTTGGCCGTTTGAAGGCCATTATTCGTGCCAAAGGTGACCAATTCAAACAAAGCTAACTTATTCTACAATTTGATACTATTTCCTACAATTGTTGACAATTGAGCTGAAATTTTCCAAACAATATTTCTTTGGCCCAAGGACGAACCCTAATGAAATTTATGATAATCGGATCAGATTTAGATATAGCTCCCATATATCATTAATCGATTTCGGCTTAATTGTGCACCAAATGGACAATATCTGTCCAAATGACCTGAGGTTTGGCATATCCGACCTTATTCAGTCTAGAAACAAGTACATCAAATTTGGTGAAAATCGGCTCAGATATAGCTATAGCTCCCATACATACGTTTCATCCGATTTGGGGTTTAAGTCCCTCACATGCGTAATATGCACTCCAGAAGAATGATATTTGGTACCGGACATCAGATACTGTTCTAGGAAACACCTCTGTCAAATTTTATAGAGATCGATTCAGATTATAGCTCCCATACATATCTTTATCCGATATCAGGTTTATTGTCCACCAAATGGCTAATATAAGCCCAAATGGTCTGAATTTTGACAATTCTGACTGAATTAATCCTAGAAAAAAGTACTTCCAATTTGGTGTAAATCGGTTACGGTTCTTTTTTTGATCCGATTTGGGGTTTAAAGTTCCTCACAAGCGTATTTCATTTCACAACGAAGATTTTTGGTACCAGATATCAGATACAGCTTTTACATAAGTGAATCAATTTTTTTCAACCGATTTCGTGGTAATTGTGCACTCGATTGGCCAATATCAGTACAAAAGTCCTGAATTTTAGTACATCCGACCGAATTCAGTCTAGATGCAAGTACATCAAATTGGTGAAGGAAAAAGGCTGGAATCCCGAATTTTTTTATTTAAGTCTCTGTTGTCCCAATTTTTTTATGTAGGTTCAGACATAGCTATATCTCCCATATATATGTTTCATCCGATTTGGTGTTTAAGGCCCTCACATTCGTAATATTGTACATCAACTAAATGCTCTTATAATCCCAAAATTTCATGAACTATTACCATAAACGTCGAATTTAGCTTTCCCTGAATATTTTTAATCCACCCAGAGGCCATATAGACCGCCCGCCCTCAAGTCCTTGAAATTGATTGAATAGCCTATTATAAGTAAAGTCACATAATACTTTCAATATTTTTTTTTTCATTTTTTATTCTGGCTTCTCGTAGTCCTCGTATGAAACCACATAACTATTGCGACACAAAAATGTCTCCTTGACATTATAAAACAAATAAATACAGTTACCTCTCTCTGCCTCCAAACACCCAGAACGGTTAACCGTTGTTTGGGTAACCGCTGGTTTTCCATTCAGGCGTGTCTTTTTTCGTTTCTGGAAAATGTCATTTTTGATGAAAAAAATTAAAAAAAAAAAACTCATGGACCCTTGTCAAACCAAAAAAAAGAGGGAATAGCTGAGACGACAAGAATCAATTTTCTTTCATTTAAAAATTGTTGCCATAGTTATGTTGTTGTTGTTTTTTTTTCTTGTTTCTGGTGTTCCATAATGGGATTGGTGGTTATGGATGATATTGAGTCGCAGATGAAAATAAAAAAACCATCTCACATTCATTGTATTCGAGCACGACACGCTCTCCATCCGTGTGGAAAGTTATTTTCCCCAATTTCAAGTATGGACTGGTCATGCAAACAGAATTTACATCCAAAAGAAAATCAACAACTTTTGCAAAAAGGACATTGGATTGGCTGAGTAGGCTTGAGTTTATACGGTGTGAGATGTTTTTTTTTCCTATGAAGACCAACATTTTTTTTGTTTTCTGATTTTTGGTGCTTTCTTTTGCATTGAAATTCTGCAAAGGTAAAATACGCAAAAAATCATGCTCCGAATGGTGATGGAATGCCTAACACATTTCTTGTTTGTTTAGTGATTTTTGTGTTGGTATTTGTGTGAATATGTGGGACGTTGTTTGCAAAGGATCCAAAGAGGTGTTAATATTTGTCTTGGGGCAGTGTTTTTTTGTAGCTGGTTTTTTCCCCATTAATTTGACTAGAAAGACGCTTAAGTAAATTGCGAGCAGTGAGGGCAATACTGACGTAGTTGAAATTGGAGTTAAGGGCTGAAATGAAGTGGTATTCACTTTAAGGCTATATAAATTACTAAGGCAAAACAGTTTTATGGCATGTGGATGAATGGTGGTGTTTGGTCAATTTTAACCTCCTTTTTCGTCAAGTCATCCATTTTTATTGTTTGTATCCATTAGATAAGATATCTTGCTTTTCTCAAGTCTAGGAGATATTAAAAACACTATCCGATATAAGTCTACCTTTTGAAAAAAAAAAACTCGACACGATATACCGCCTAAGTGTCTGTAATTTAAGATTTTGAGGTTTCAATTGGTAATGTACCCTGTATCAAAAATTCTTCAAAATGGAACCATTTTGATAACAGAACCTGAAAATTCTGGTTAGATATTGAAAATTCTCTTATTTTTACATTTTATAAAAAATATAATTTTACAATATTTTGAGCCTTTGTGGGGGAGTTACTAGATGAAGTGGGCCAATATTGCCCATTTTCGCACCTGAACTAGTACTAATAAAAATATTAGTATTTGCAAAGTTTGTATGAAATCGGATGATCCTTTTTATACACTCCGTCATATGGCTAGAGAGGGTGTATATCATTTGATACGGCCAAAACGTGCCTCATCGAAATAATGGTTTTATACCCTAGGTCTCTTTGGACCAAATCCGTTTTAGGACATTTGGAGTCTATTTGGAGATTTTCGTCCGTTAGTCTGTCTGCCTAGCTGGTGCGCACGATAACTCTCGAAGGGAGTATCCGATTTGGTCCAAATATGGTACATTGTAATATTATTAACAAATTTACATCGTGTTTGGAAATGGGTAATATCGGTCTTCTCTTTCTGGTACCTACACGACAAAAGGCCGAAATTTTCAAAAAAAAAAAAAAAAAAAAAACAAGGTAAAAAGCAGTAAGATTGGCCGGGCCGAACTTTGAATACGCTCCACCATTTGGAACGAATTTGGAAATTAAAAAAAAAAATAAAATCCTTAAAAAATTCTGTTAAAATTTTAAAAATACCGAATATAGCCGTTTGGGGTCTATACGACGTGGACCTACATAGGCATTGTTTGCCATTAGCCATTGCCATATTCAAATTCGAAACTTGAAATAAACGGTGAATAACGTTGCTAAAATCATCAAAATACCGAATTTTTGGAGGTACCGTTATATGGGGGCTATACGAAGACGTGGACCTGCACCTACAAATTTCTGCCTTATGCTGTAGTATTCATTACGAACTTCAAATACCAAATTTAAAACAATTCCGGAGAATAATGTCGCTAAAATCATCACAATACCGAATATCGGGAGGTACCGTTATATGGGGGCTATATGAAAACGTGGACCTACATGGCCCATTTACGAACCTGCCTACAAAAAATAAACACGTGTGCAAAATTTTAGCCTTATATCTCAGTTCGTTCGAAAGATAGCGTGATTACAACAGACGGACATGGCTAAATCGACTTAGAATTTTACGCTGATCAATAATATATATACTTTGTTGGGTCAGAATATTTTAGCTATAATATTCTGCATTTATTTTGATGCCACGGTCGATTAATACGAGCGGAGAGCGACCAACGACTGTTATGGCGGCCCACACCATCACCATGGCCGGCGCTTCAGTTCTATTGGCCAACCAAAGGGGCACATTTTCAGCTGACCTCCTTGGCAAGTAAAAACGATCATTTTGTTTGTTTACAAACTGCTGTACAACGAATGTTTTCTAATCGGAGTTCACCACTTTCGGCTAAGTGAAGCAACTCTTTAGCTCTTTCATGTCTATTATCTTTCTGTTGCGGTGTAAGTTATTGCACTTTTTGGAATTGTAATGACTCGGGGCAGGAGCTCATTTTTCAATATTTGCCGAATGGAATATTGCGATATGTTCACCTCACAAGCCATTTTCGGCCACTGCGACGCGGGTTTCGATCAAGTCGCTTCTTTACTTTTCGAACCATTTCTGCTGATGTTGCTGTTTTCTTCCGTCCATTTCCTTGACGTCGGGCTACGCTAGCAGTATCACAGTAACGAGCGATGGTACAAGACACAATAGATTTATTCACATTTAAATGCTGGATTGTTCTAACGATTGCCACTTGTGGTTTTCCATCCAAATATAAAGAAATCACACTATCACGCTTGAATTCCATCACGAATAACTTTTTTCTGGAAAATTCTCATCAAAATGCTTTTGTACGCTTGTAAACACTATAATGAGCTGTCACTGGAATAGTTTTAACAGCTGTCGGACGAGTGGCTTAGAAATGACAGCATTTTAGGTTTCAGTAACTTCAATTTTTTTACGATTCGATTTTTTTCGGTGTTCGGTGGTGTGAAAGTATTTCTTCGTCTATATTCTCTTTAGTTTATGCTATATATACATATAAATAAGAATTTGGCAAACACTTACCTCTCTGAGATCACTGTTTTCCGTTAGTAAATCTATTTTATTACCCACAACCACAATTGGGACAGCTGAGGTGCCCTTAGTCTCATGAATTTGATCACGGATCATGCGTACTTCTTCGAATGTTGTTGCATCTGTGACATCATAGACCAGAATGAAAGCATCTGCCGAGGATATGGATAGGGCTCTCATGGCGGGGAACTGTAAAGAAACAAATAATTAATAGTAAAGGATGAGTTGATATCGAATTATTCTTATGACCACACAGCGTATTAGCATTATTAAAACGTATACGTCAGAACATTCCGAGTTATTTTCAGATACACCCAAGTATTTTTGTTGTTTAAAAAATCGGGTTATTTCCAATATTTAATTACAGTGTAACACAAAAAACAAGTAAAAATACATTAAGTTCGGCCGGACCGAACTTTTAATACCCTCCATCCTAGGGTAATGGAAACATTAGATATAAATTTGACCCTCAAATACCAATTTTTAGATATATTCGTGGGAAAATGTGGCAAAAATCATCAAAATACCGAAAATCGGGAGGTACCGCTATATAGTGCTACACAAAAACGTGGACCTATACATACAATGTTTCACCAACCGATTATGACCAAAAATACCAATTTTTAGACAAATCCGCGGAAAAATGTGGCAAAAATCATCAACCATCCTAGACACAATACAAATTATTCTGCTAAATTTTGACGCTCTACATCAAATAATGTGGCCTGTATCGTGATTTCCACAGACAGACAGACGGACATCGTTAAATCGACTTAGAATTTTATGCTGCTTATGAATATATATACATTATGGGGTCTACGGCGAATATTTAGACATGTTACAATTGGAATGATAATCCGATTGATCCTTTCCAAGGTGGAGGGTATAATAATTGCAGGGGAAATTTAGCAGATTATGAAAGTAGAGATTTACATCGAATTTTTACATCGCAAAGTAACCTAAATAGTGGGGAAAAATCTCCTCCTTTCACATTTTTTGAAAATTTCGAATTAAAATTCCTTGGAGATTTTAGGTACATAGAGCAGATAAAACCGAGGTTTATTTTGTTCAAAAATGTTAACCCTCAAGCCAGCCAATAAGAGACTGCTTTATTGACCTTTTTATACCCTCCACCATAGTATGGAGGATATATTAAGTTTGTCATTCCGTTTGTAACACCTCAAATATACATTTCAGACCCGATTGATCAGCATAAAATTATATGTCGATTTAGCGATGTCCGTCCGTCTATCCGTCTGTGGAAATCACGTTAACTTTTGAACAAAATGAAGTCGGTTGATAAAATTTTGCTCAAATGTATACTATGTCTGCAGGATTTAAGGTGTTGAAAATTGGCCATGTAGGTCCACGTCTTCGTATAGTCCTCATATAACGGTACCTTCCGACATTCGGTATTTTGATTATTTTAGCGACATTATTTAACGGAATTGTTTCAAATTTGGTATATGAAGTTCGTAATGGATACTACAGCCTAAGACAGAAAATTGTCTGTGCAGATCCGGTTCTTCGTATAGCCGCCATATAACGGTACTTCGATGGTATTTCGATGATTTAAGCGACATTATTCACCGGAATTGTTTCAAATTTGGTATTTAAATTTCGTAATGGATACTACAGCCTAAGATAGAATATTGTCTGTGCAGGTCCGTGTTTTGATACAGACACGGTACCTTCCTACATTCGGAATTTGATGATTTTAGCTACATTATTCACAGATTTTTTTCAAGTTTCAGATTTGAATATTGTAATGGCTTATGACAAAAGTTGTTATGTAGGTCCACGTCGTCGTATAGGCCCTAATATAACGCCTACATGCAGTAGTTTTAAGATTTTAACATAATTTTTAACAGATTTTTTTTAAATTGCCCAATTCGTTCCAAATGGTGGAGGGTATTCAAAGTTCGGCCCGACCGAACTTACAGCTTCTTTACTTGTTTTTTTTTTCTTCTTTTTTTTAAGGGCTTATGTGTAAAACGTAGAAACCAACAGTGACCTCAATTTCAAATTTCAACTCTATGTCTTCACTTAATATCTAAAATTTAGTACGCATATCCAAAGCAATCAACATCTCTCCATCCTAGACACCAACAGAGATTCAAAATTGGTAGCATTTAATACCTTTCGAAAACCAACCAACTTACCCAATACCAAATTTAGTGACATTTAGAACTTTTCGTATATAGTACCAACGGAGCCCCAATATCATATTTCGTGATTCAAGCTCTATACCTTCACCCAAGACCAAATTTTTTAACATTTAGTACTTTTCGTACAATTATGGTGCACATTTCCAAGACCACCTAAAAAACTCAATTTCAGATACAAATAAAGACCTCAACATCAAATTTCGGGATTCCAGATCTATGCCTTCACCCAATAACAAATTTTGTACAATTTAATACTTTTCGTAAAAATATAGGACACATCTCCAAGACCACATCCTTATCAAAAGAGACCTCAATATCTAATATCGGGATTCCAGCTCTATTCCTTCTCCCAATACCAAATTTAGTACTATTTAGTATTTTTCGTACTATTACACTATACATTTCCAAAACCACCTGCATATCTTAACCACAGACACCAACAGTGACATCTATATCGAATTTGAGGATTTAGCTCTATTATTTCACCCAATTCCAAATTGTACCAAATTTAGTACCATTTGGTAATTTTTGTACACATATCCAAAACTGACTTTAATTCTAAAACAAACCCCCAAAACTGAGCCCAATGCAAAATGTTAGCTTCATGTATTCATCCTAAACCAAACTGTTTCATATTTAGTACCATTTAGTACAGTTCGCACACTTAATGCACATTTTCAAAATAAGAATTTCGAAACTTTATTCAATTTCGTCCAAGTTCAATGTTCCGAGTTTATATGTTTTGGAAGCATCACTTTAATAATTGAATTATATCTAAGTAGTTGTTGACTTTATCAGCATAATGTATTACATATATCGCAAACATGTAAGTTTCACTTACCAAAAGGGACCATTTCTTATTTCAGAAATATGTGTGAATACATCTGTTCAACAAGTTATGACAATTGTCTCTTGGGTTTAGTGAAGAGTTTAAGAAGTTTACAAACATTTTTTTTTGATAACATACTAAAATACATGAAAAACCCAAAAAAAAAACAGTAAAGAAAGTCTTAAAGTCGAGCGGGGCCGACTTTATGATACCCTACACCACTTTGCTAATTTAGTAGAGCTCCGCATAACAATTAAAAGTATTTATGGGAGAATTCAATCATACACGCTATGATTATAATTTAAAGTTCAAAGGACTAAATATGCCGAGGCATTAGTATCTTTTAAATTCGGATTTGTTTTGCCCATTTGGTGCAAAATTAATTTGAAATCGAATTTGAAAAAAAATATATGGGAGCTATGTCCATATCGGAATCGATCTCGATAAAATTTGGCAAAGATATTTCTGAGCTGTATTTGATATATTTTCCTGAATGTCGTTGTTACGGAGTGCATATTACGGCTGTGGGTAACAAATATAACAAATCGGATGAACAATATATATGGGAGCTATAGCTATATCTGAACCGATATCGATCAAATTTGGCATACTTATTTTCATGCCTAATTTGGTTGTATGTGCAAAATTCCATACTATTCGGGCTGATATTACACGTTTGGTGCACAATAAAAGGCAAATCGGACGAAGATATATATGGAAGCTATATCTAAATTTTTACCGATTATCTCCAATTTCAATAGGGTTCGTCCTTGGGCCAAATAAATGATTTGTGCAAAATTTCATCTGGATAGGGCAATAAATGCGAACTGTACTTTGTTCACAAAAATATATGGACAGACGGACGGACATGCTTAAATCGACTCAGAATGTGATTCTATGCAGATCATCAAAAGGAACTATGGGTCTATCTCGTTTCCTTTTGCCTGTTACAAAAAATGCACAAAGACATAATACCCTGACCACATGTGGTGTAGGGAATAAATACCGCATGTAGCCGTTATATTAGGGTCTATACGACGACGTGGACCTTCAAAGCCAACATTTGCCATAAGCCATTACAATATTCAAATGCGAAACTGAAAAAAAAAATCGGTGAATAATGTCGCTTAAATCATCAAAATACCGAATATAAGGAGGTACTATTATAAGGGGGCTATATCAAAACGTAGACCTGCACAGACAATTTCCGTCATTACGAACTTCAAATACCAAATTTTGAAAAAATTCCGATGAATAATGTCGCTAAAATCAATACCGAATATAAGGAGGTACCTTTATATGGGGGCTATACGAAGACGTAGACCTACATGGCCCATATTCAATACCAAAAGTTCTGCAGACATAATACACATTTGAGTAAAATTGTATCAATCTACTTCATTTCGTTCGGAAGCTAGAGTGATTTCCAAATACAGACAGACACGGACGGACATAGTTAAATCGGCATAGAATTTTATGCTGATCTAGAATATATAGACTTTGTGTGGTCTAAAGTGCATATTTCGAATTTCTGCGAATGAAAAACTTAATATACCCTCAATACTATGGTGGAGGGTATAAAAATCTATCCAATTTGGGCTGATATTACATATCTGGTGAACAATGACCGTAAAATCGGATGAAGATGTATATCGATGGTACATAAAAATCTGAACCGATTTTGATAAAATTTGGCAGAGGCATTTTCGAGCTGTATCTGAAGTACTGTATCAAATATCATTGTTGTGGAGTGCATATTACACATGTGAGGGTCTTTAACACCAAATCAGATGAAATATATATATGAGAGCTATAGCTATATCTAAACCGATTTTCGCAGATTTCAAGTACTTGCTTTTGGGCTGAGTTCCATCGGAAGTGTCAAAAATTCAGTTCATTTGGACTGATATTAGACATTTGGTGCATAATAAATCCGAAATCGAATAAAGATATATATGGGAAATCTGAACCGATCTTGTCAAAATTTACACTTATTCCTGAGCTGTACCTGATGTACGGTACCATCATTCTTGTGGAGTGCATATTACGCGTGTGATTTTTTTTAAATTTTATTGAATGAAAGCAAAAAATGTCGGAAATAGCACCAAATTTTAGAATAAGTTTAGACTTGATCGAATTGGTCACCTTTGGCACGAATTATGGCCTTCAAACGGCCAATGAAACCGTCACAC